AAAGGGGTGAGATGGAGGCTAAAATTACCAGCATGGCTTAAGCCGAAAGCTCTCACTGCCCACAATTAAGCCTTGGAAGAGTCCATTCAACCTTTAGGAATTGGGAAGGAAGGTCTGCAAAAGCCAAAAACCTTTTGACTCAGGTGATCTGGGTTCTAGTCCCCGCTCAGCCATGGAGCCACCTGGGTGACTTTGGAACAGTCACAGACTCTCAGCCCAACCTACCTCACAGGGTTGTTGTTGTGGCACCAAGATTAAGAGCAGGAGGAAGTATAAGCCGCTTTGAGGTTTTTAAAAGAAAAGAAGCAGTATCTAAATCTAATAAGTAAATAACCCACCAAATGTGCTTCAGCTGAAGCCAGGAAACTATGATGTGGCTGTTTAGATAACCCCAGAGGGCCTTATTAGGACTGACTTAGGCCACATGCGGTCTCAGTCCTGAGGTTCAGTACTCCTGATGGAGGGGCACAGGGAACTCACAACATACTATAGTGTCCTACTTTACATTTAACTTATGTGTGATGGTAATGTCACATTCCCTGTTCAGAGCTGCATATTAACTCCTCCATGAAGGTTCTTTCCATTTAAGATTTTAATATTATTTGAAGCAGTCCTCATTCCTTGCAATTGTTCTAGCATAGAGAAAAGTCTGGATAAAACACACATTTTCCTTATGTACTACTCCAAGAAAAGTATTCTCCTTTATAATTCAGTCTGACATCAACACTTAAGAAAGTATCCTTTCATTAAATTCATTCTATAGAGGAAGAACCAACAACAGTATAAGACCCTTGACCAATGAGACAATATAGCCCATTGCTGAAGAGAGAAAGAACGTGTGTTGCTGGAGAGAGAAGAGGGCAGGGCTTTCATTCAAGAAAAAGTGGCTCAGTATGGTTGGATGGCAGACTGAACATTTCTAGTATGCTGACCAATGCCAATAATGCAGCAAGGACATGATAATGCCTATTCAAAAGTGCTAACCAAGTTTTTTAAGTTCCTTTTGTTGCAATAGGCCATACCAGTGAAACTGTATTTAGGACCCAATACACTGCCATAGTTTACAAGCCACCATAACATACCATGCTGCATGAACATATTCAGCAAAACCTGCATTTTGGAAAGCAAACTCCATTTTACAAAGCTGACATAAAAAGTGGGACCTTTTCATTAATCACAAATTGTATTCTGGAGATGTAAAGCCTCCCTAAAATCTTATTTTCCTTAGCTTATTAATTGAGTTTATTTATGGAACAGAAATCACATAAAATAGCTGGAAGCATCCTAGACTAGAAATATGGCTGTGCTACTAAGCTGTTGAATAGCTGCTAAATACATGAAATCCTTTTCCATATTTAATCCGAATCCCTGCTTTTATTCTATTTCATATAGTTAGTGAAAACTGAACTGTCCGATCTTCAAAGCAGACTTTGGCTGCACTGGCACAAAAAGTGCTAAACGCAAAAACACTGTGCAAAGGCATGGTTTTACAGCTCTGTTCAACTTGTCCTAGGAGACCTCTAAAATTATCATTACTATAACAAAACTAGGGTGAACAGACAGTGCAGCATTGTAACAAAATGAACTTACAAACTTGTCAGCATACCATTAGGCTTAAATTCAACATCATACATAGAAACAGAACAAGTCAGAAGGGGCCTCCCAGGCCATCTAGTCTGACCCTCAGCTTCAGCCAGCTCTGCTCATGAAAAACTACCCATGAAATACCTGCTAAGAAGTCATGCAAGTGACTTCTATTTGTACAGTGCAACTTCCCCATCCTATTCTCATCCCCACCACCCTCAGCTCCCTGCATGTGTCCCAAATTAGCTCCAATGGGTATCCCAACTCCCTCAAGCTTATCTGTAGTGGTGCGAAGATTATAGGATGAAGGAAAATATGTTTTACCAGCTGTTCTTGACAAGCTGGATTCAAGGCTTAGGCTGTACTTTTACTGGGAATGAGTCCCATTCAACAGTGAAAGATACTTCTAAACTTTACATAACAAACAACTTAAGTTCAAATGGAGATGTTGTGCCTTAAGATTCAATGGCTCTATCAAACTGGTAAGTATCTCTGAGATTTCTGGCTTCCCGCTCAAATATTTCTATCCCAGAAAGGCACTTTGATTACCTCCCTTCTTCCCACAGGATCTATCTTGCACAGTTACAAGGGAGTATGAGAGTCAAATGGGTTTTTCCCCTCCTTATATGCACATAGACAAAAGGCAAAGGAAATAATAGCTTTTATATTCCTAACAAAGAGTACCAGAAGCAACAGAATAGTGGAGCCAGTAACATGACAGCTAATGCAGTAGTAGAATTCTACTTAATTAATGTATTTAAACATATTGGATGTTGTTTAAAATGGAGGCTTATTTAAATCACAGCATGTGCTGAGGGCTTACGCATCACAGTTTTTAAATAAGAGACAGTGGCTTACTTTGTGCAAACCAGTTCAATGATACCTTTATGAGATAGGTCAGTACTGAGCAAAGAGTAGCTCTCTCTAGGCTACCTAGTAAATTCATCAGTGAGGTGAAATTTGAACTGAGGATAGTCACATGAGAACTAGCCAGTCATAACACCAGCTGTGCTTCTTATTGTACTACAGTATACCTTGATTCAACTGGGATTCTATTGTTATTCTATTTGGAGACTGTCATTTAATCCTGGACAGAGTTATCCTTCCTTAGAGTGAGAGACATTTGACTGTCATCCCACTGGTAGGACTGTCACTTAGCTGCCATCCCACTCTGAGCACTCAATCCTTTTGGTTCCCATGACAACCTACATGTGATTCCATTGTTTCTCCAAGATCCCCTTCCTGTTCATTTTATTTCTATTTTTTCCCTTGCTTGTCATACAGATCCCATTCCTTCCCTTTTGGTACCCTTTTATTGTTTTCCATCACCCATTCCTCAGGCTGACCCACCTTCCTCTTCTGCTGCTGCATTAGCATTGACTCCTGCAAAAAAGTCTTACAACCCAGGAAGGAAGGATCACTGACCATAAGTAGTTTATTTTCTATTGCCCACAACCTACATCCATTAAGAGTCATTCCCTAGGATAGCAGCTGAATTCTCCTTTTTATTGTTTTACAGCTGTTGTTCCAGAATCTAGCTTTTTGCCATCCTTTTTACTATGCACTGTTACTGAGAGTGCTAAAATCAGGCTTTTGACTGAAAGCAGACCCACAATTCATATTTATTATATTTATAGCTTATCATTCCTCCAAGACAGTAAATGTGGTTTTCCCATCTCCATCCCCATTTTATAACAATCTTGTGAATTCGGTTGGGGTAAGATGTTGTGATCGGCCCAATGTCATTCAAATGACCTTCACAAACTATAAAATAAATGGATCTCTAGTTTGCAATATAAATTGCAGCTGCCTGTAGGGGAAGGATCAGCGCTCACTACCTCTTATGCTGGTGCCCTGATTTGGATCAGGGCCGCTATACCGACTGAAAAATCCAAATTAAACAAGACATAGTTGCTAGCTATAATATCTGCTTTGGCCTTACCTGTAGCAGAATTGGGCAGCTTGTGGCTGTCTGGGTATTTTAGCAACCACTTCAGCCCTACCAGGCATAACCAACTTGGTACCTGCAGACAAAACCATCTGGAGGGCCACTAGTTTTCCACTGCTATTTTCTGGCAATACCCACTGTGATTTTCTGATAAAAATTATCATAGCAGATGGACATTCAAGCTTTGTCATCACTGAGAATTACTAATATTGTAAGATTACTTCTGTATGTTTGCATTTGTGTCATATTTAATGCTTTTCCCAACATAAGACTATACATGACTAGAAGAGAGAAAAAATGCCACTTGCAGAAAGTAAGGTGCTAGCCAGCCATTTCCTTGCTATGCGGTGAAGTGTCTTGTTGTCCTTCTAGTAGTTGTTTTAAACCCAGGAAACATTCAATTTGGCATCCCTCACTAGAGTCTGAAGTCCATTTTCCTATCTTAGGATTCTGTATTGTTGTTACAATTATCAGACAATGATCTCTTTTGTTGGGAATATTCTGTGTTAATGACCCGGAATGATTCCCAAATGTTTTTGCTTAATGGAACTAAATCTTGGGGATAGCAAAAATGTCTCTGGAATATTTGAAATGGAAAACCCAGACCAGCTACAAGCTGGCGTCCAAACAAGCTTGGCACCTGGAAACACTGGTTTTAGAAACTAACAGGTTTAGAAGAGAGACGTTCTTTAAGAAGAGTTTGGCTGGTACTTTGACCTTCTAAACTGAAATCTTTACCTTTTACATTTAGTCGTGTTAAGACTGAGTACAGAGCAAGAGTGGTGACGGAAATCCACTCAGCAACTGCTACCAAGCACCATTTTCTTAAGCAAAGGCATACCACCCAAATCGATTTAGCATAATACCTTTATTAGGGCAACTCAAGCATCAGCCTGCCCATTTAGGTCATCTTTGAGTTGGCTGAACACAGGTCGCGCAGAGTACTATTAATGTCAGCAGATGGATTCTGAAATTTATTTCCAAGTAGCTGAGTCCGGGCGGCGGTGCAAAGCCAGTCCGGCGCTGAACCTGGAGGTCTCGGGGGCAGTGAGACTCAGGGCAAGCGGAAAGCCCAGCGCAAGCGCATTTTCCTGCCCTCGCCAACCACAGCTACCCCCAGTTAGTTGGGGCGGGACGACGCGACCTCTCCTCTGCCCCACCGCCAGAGGCGGAAGGGGCCCCGCGCGCGCCCTGCTCTGCAGAGTTCCGGGAACGCCGGGTCCTTTCCCACACTCGCACTCGCCGCCCGGAGACACCTGGCTCCGCCTCGCCTCCTCCCTTTCCCCTCATTTCCCTTGCCCGGTGGCAGCCGGACGGTGGCCAGGCTCGGGCGTGGAAGGAGAGCACGGCAGGGAGAGAGAGGGAGGGAGGGAGGAGCAGAGAGGAGCGGAGCGGGGCGGAGGGCGGGCGCCGGCGCCGAGCCGACGAGCGTTGCCTGGGACGAGCCGTGGCAGTTGTCGCGGGCGCCTGAGCAGGGGACGTCGCGCAGCGCCCCGGGCAGCAGCAGCGTTCGCGGGCGAGGAGGCAGTCGGAGGTGGCGGAGGAGCCGAGCTCGGCCCGGGCGCGCCCCGCTCCCCCTGAATGACGGGCGGCAGGTTCGACTTCGACGATGGCGGCACCTACTGCGGCGGCTGGGAGGAGGGCAAAGCCCACGGGCACGGCATCTGCACGGGGCCCAAAGGGCAGGGCGAGTACGCGGGCTCGTGGGCGCACGGCTTCGAGGTGGTGGGCACCTACACCTGGCCCAGCGGCAACACCTACCACGGCTACTGGGCGCAGGGCAAGCGCCACGGGCTGGGCGTGGAGACGAAGGGCAAGTGGATGTACCGCGGCGAGTGGGCGCACGGCTTCAAGGGCCGCTACGGCGTGCGCCAGAGCCTCACCACGCCGGCGCGCTACGAGGGCACCTGGAGCAACGGACTGCAGGATGGCTACGGCGTCGAGACCTACGGGGACGGAGGTGAGTGCGTGAGCGGAGGAGAGGCCGCTGGAGGGCGCCCACGGCCGGCGCGCGAGTGGGCGCGCGGAGCACGGCGCTTCCACTTGTGCATGCGAAGCCGCGGGGTGCAGCAGTGTGAAGCTGCGCCCAGCAGGTATGCACCTAAGTTTCTCTTTCGCTCTCCCTTCCCCCGTTGCTCGTCCCATCGGACAAACACGGACAGGTAGCGTCTTTGGAATACCTCGCTTGCACTAGAACGTGGGCTTACTCGTCGTTGAAGGCACATGGGTGCGCTCCCATCGACTCATACTAACAGTATTTATTGGTCACGTCTCTATGAGCCTCAAAGCAAAGTTTAATTCTTTTCACCCACGGGAGTCCAGCTTTCTTCCTTCACTATAAATAAGACCGATCCCAACTTTTGGTTTGCATCCCACCCTGCAACATGGGGAGAGCCTGGCTGAGATCCATTTGTAATTTCAAGCAAAAGAATACTGCTGTCGACATTCTGGTGCCCTCTGGGTTGGAAGCAGCCACTGATGTGAACTAGAACACAGTTTAATTGCTTATCTTCCCCCCTCTACCCAGGGCTGTCTTAACAGCATTACGGGCCCTGGGCAAAGCTGTGTACTGGGGCCCCTAGGACAACTACAACTACTGTTAATTTTGGAAGTTTTCCATTTTTCCAAGGGTTAACATACACAGATTAGTATGGGGCCCACGGGCAAGTGCCCATCAGGCCCATGCGTTAAGATGGCCCTGCCTCCGCCCTCCTGCAAAGGCACCAGATCATATTTTTTATCATTTGGTGTTAACAATCAGTTGTTTTAACCCTTCTACACTTCCTCCAAGCAGATACTGAGAATGGGAAATAATCTACCCTCTTACCATCCTGTCTGCAGAAAGGATGGTTAAAAGTTGCCAAGGGCCTTAAGCCTTTTTTCACTAATAACCTCTTGATAACTTATAGATGTACCCTAGTAGGCAATATATAGGCTGTGCTGCTAGAACTGAGTATCGCTAACCTGATTTAAATTTAGATGTTGCCTAGGTTGTCTTGGAGAATATTTTTTCCCATCACAGCAATTCTGTGTTATACAGCTGCTTAGGTTTCTCTTGAAAACACTGAAAGCCTTTTGTTTACACCACAAGGCTGAAGACTTCTCAAAATTAACCATTAAAGGTCCTGCATTTTCATGAACATCACTCTTCTTTGTTAGCCAACAGGTTAAGCAAGAATATTCCTCATGGAATGAAGTATGATTCCTAGAACATATTTGGATCTTTTCTTTCCCTGGTGGTCAGTGTATTACTAGCATGGACCCCTGGTTTATAACATTGTTACTTGGGAACTCTCACTGATTTCAACTGTAGTTGCATCAGTGTCGCACTCATAGATGACCAGACTGATCTCATATATGTGGATACTCATTTATTTATTTACCATGTAAAACTGTTCTATACCGTCCTCAACCAAATATTCTCAGGATGGTCTTACAATAAAACAAAGTAAAGCACGGCATCAATTCTGTACAATAAAACCCAAATTAAAATTGCAATCTAAACATTTAAATACTGGGAAAATAAAAAGGTTTTGGCCTGGTGCTGAAAGGAATAAAGGGCTCCCAAAGAAGGACCTCTGACCCAGATCTTAAGAGGCAGGCAGGCACATAGGGAAGGAAATGCTTCTTCAGATATCCAGGTCCTAAGCCATTTAATTATTCAAATATATTTGAATGTACATATACAATATGTATGGGGGATATACAATCAATAATACAATTTCAATTAAAAGATAAAGAAATATATTGTATATGTATAAAACCAACAAAATCCAACAGAACTATATTATAAAACTAGTATCAGATACATAATATGCTGAAATGCCAGATCCTGAGATCTGGATGCCAGGCTTGGTACAATGTGAGCTTTCCTGGAGAAGATATTCCACAGACAGGGTGTCACAAGTAAAAAGGTCCTCTTTGATGAACTCCTACCTAAGCTCAGATGGTGAAAAGACCCAGAGAAGGATACAAAGTGAAGAATTGAGGGACCCAAGTAGGAATAGAGTAATGAAACAAAGGATCCCAGAGCATGACAGCCTGCCTAGAGTTGTGCCATGTTATGTGGTACTGAAAGTCATTGAGGTGCATGTTCTTCACTCACTGTAGATCATCCACTAGGTGAACAGGGCAGTTTCCATGCCCAAATGAGGCCTGAAATCAGATTCACATTCAAAAAGTGTAACTTGTTTAATTGAGTAAGGGATATTTGTGCCTGATCATGAGTAGCTAATGATGAACTACTAAGTACTTTTTACTTCTTTTGGGGTAAAAGGAAGTTTTATATAGGAGTAGCTTCACAGCTGCTTCTGTCAAGCTGACCAAAACTACTTCCTGCATTAAAAGAGTCACATTTATTACCCTTGTTTTTATATTGAATTGGATAATTTTAATTTTGTGAACCAGCCAGAGAGCTTTAGTTATTGGATAACATAGAGATGTAGCAATATGTGTATATATGTATTTCTATATTAATTTTGTACATTTTTTCTTATGTTAATTTTTTCTAATGCTTCTAATTACATTACATGTAAATTTATGTAAATACTACTAGCTATTCTATATTTTTTATATTTTTGGCCTGCAATTTGTAGGCACACTTATCTTAGAGTTTCATCTTTTACTCTGGGGGTCTTACTTATGTAGATGAGAGTTAAAAATATATTTTAAACTAACCAGTCACTTCATATTATATGATATAAGCCATGATGGGCCAAGCAAACAAGAAATCAGTTATATCATTCTGTTAAATGAGAAGGACTATGACACATTGACAGCTGATACGTGATAAAACTTTGGCTGTATAAATGTCCACGCAAAAAATATGCATACATTGAGTGTTAAGTATTTCCTTTGTTAAAGTCTCAAAAGAAATATTTCTATTAAAACTATGTTTTCCAAAAAACAATATTCTTCAGTAGACCATTATATATTTGTATATTTCAAGGAATTTGGAAATTTAAATATCCCTTTCTTGACCTACATATTTAAAAGTATGAGCTTGTTCGATATATTCTAAGATATATATTTTACTGTAAGTACCTGAAGTATTCTTTCTGCTTTATTTCTTAAGACAAAATAGATTGGCAATTAATTAATTGGCTGCAGCAATTATAGGCGACCTATAAATATATGTAAATAAATAAATCAATTCCTGAATTTCTTTGGCATCAAAGTGGGCATACCAAAGGTACCAAAAAGAAACTCATTCAGGTCAGGTCAGAATACATCTTGTCTAGATAAATTTTTTCACTGGCATACTGTACTTGTGTCATTCTGAATACTCTACAAAAAGTTAAAATAGCCCAGATCTATGTCATTTACATTAATGAAGCTTACTTAAAGCTGTGGTTATGTTCTTGATTTATTCCAGCCTAAATATATATTTGGACCTTTTTTTAAAAAATGCAGTGCATTATATATATTAATCTCACAGCCACCTCATGCTGTGGGAGAGGCAGGATAAAAATACTTAAGTAAATAAAACTTGGACATATTTATCTTACTTGATTTGGCCATTAATGCTGTATAACCAGTGCCTAAGAGCCTGCTGTGGTCAGCATTGCAATATATTAATCATTATTTTTTATCTTTAATCCTGTGGCCTTTCATTGGAATAGCATGTCGATTGAGTCAATGGGGCTTGCTTCTAAGAAATTATAGCTAGACTTATATCCTACCATTCAATTCTCTGTGTATTTATTTTCATACATCCAGGTGAATTTGACAGGACTCATTCCAAGTGTGCAAGTAGGAACAAGCACAGTGGCATGAAGATGCAAGCTACATGTTACACACTAATGTACACGGCAGTCTCTACCACTTTTTCTTAAAGATAAAGCTTTACCTAGAGCAGGGTATCCAGAGCAAAAAAAAAAAGTGGCAGTAAGCAGGAAGATACACAGTTCCTCCTGCCTCCCATCACCCCACATTTCTCTGTTTCAGATGAGAATATAAGAACTGTACGGGGTTACAATAAAGACCTATAAAATTCTGCATGCTGCCCTTAAGTAGGATATGAGTTCAACAGCGCATGCGTGCATGTGTGCGCACATATTCCCCAGCTACTTTTATACAGACTAGCAGCCATTGAAAGATTCTATAAATTGTTAAATCCCCTTTTAAATCCTCTTTAATTTTTACTCTAGGTGCATGGTTGCCAATCTAGATGAGGCATTCTAGCAAGGACTTTAGAGCTTTAAGCATGGGAGTAGAAGGCTTTTCTCTCCTCCCTGCTAAAGGATCAATCTGGATAGAAGGTTCACACCTGCCATTATTGTTACAAAATAGTGATTCATAAAGCAAGTTGGTGACTTGTGATAGGAAATTGTGAAACTAAATTCCATAGTTTAACTATGTGCTGTGTGAAGAAGTATTGGCCTTTAATCTGCAACAGATTCAGGACAAGTCTGTTTCATGGGATGCGTCCACATTCTAATATCATGAGAGAGAGAGAGAAATACCTCTCCCAGTCCATTGTTTCTATACCATACACAATTTTATACAATTCTGTCATGTTCCTCATAATTGGCTTTCCCACTCCGTATTCCTGTTACTGGCATGAGGCAGACCAGTGGAGCTCACATAAATAAGCTTCGCTGACCTACCCTTATCCATAAATTAGTGTTAAATCTGTTGTGGAAGTACAAGAACCTGTTTTCACACTGGAATTGGTGAGAGGTGCCATTTGTGCAACAGTTCTGAGGATTACATTCTTTGGACTCTACTGCAAGGGTGAAAGGATAATAAGTGTATATTACTTATTAGTAATACTATTAAAGTTAAACACACAGAAAGACACACAAATACACTTCTGAAAGTTTAAATGGTACAGTGAATAATGGACTATGAAATACAAGATAGCTCTAATAAACATTTAACATTAGCTTGAAATCTAAATGTTCACTTCACAGCAAATATTTTTGTTTTTATTGAATGACTTTTTAAACTTTTGGAATAATAAACTGGCATAGTCATGCTGCAAAATTTTTCAGTGGAACATTAAATGATTAAATTATAAATGTTATGTTAAAATGTAAAGCACAATCTGTATAAAACAATTATATAGCCATTCAAAATAGCTTCACTACTGGCAGTAAGTGCTTTGAAGTAAAATATATGGATATTTTTGGCAGGTTTGGACTTGCTCCTTTTGCTTATCCTTACCCACCACTGGAATGTGACTCTTCTCTGAAATGGATTTCAGCCTTCAGGCTGAAAGTTCATTACCCTTTAGATAAATTTGGAGGTGCTACGTGAGAAACTCCTATGCAAATACGCCTTCAGAGTGGCCTTAGTTGCAACATTCAGTCTGAGTTTCCTTACCATTTTGAGGAGAGGGCAGAAAGAGTTAATGCTGCTTATGCATCATGACAGAGCTCTGCTGAGCTCTACAATTGGGTGCCCTTTCTGCAGATGTCATCAAAAACTGATCTCATTAAAATATATTTAAAGCATAATTTTCATTTCCCAGCATCAAAAGAGTTACTTCATAATAGCCTTTGAGACTCTGAAATGTGGATTGATGTCATAGGTGGCATCAGCAGTTTATGGTGGGATGGGACAGGAACAGGAGATCCTATAGGACTGACTAAGGCATAGAACATTGCCTTCACTGCTGCATCCTTTGGATTCAGTAGACTGCAGCCATCCTAATATTTCAAATTGGGAAACCAACAGAATTCACACTATTTGATGGTACCCTTGTCCAAACAGTTGACTGCACTGAATTAGCTCAAGGTATGTACTTATGCAGATGATTTTTATTATTTTTTTATTTTTTTACTGTGAGCAGAAGATTCCTATCACATCATATTGCAAAGTTTTTTTTTGGTAAACTATATGATAATTATATATATGTTGACAGCCAGTGTGGTGTAATTGTTGCACTAGGACTCAGGAGTTCTGGGCTCTAGTCCCTGCTCAGCCATGAAGCTCACTAGGTGGCTTTGGCCAGTCACAGCTAACACACCTCACAGGGTTCTTGTGACCATAAAATGTAGAGGAGAAGAATTATGTAATTCACTTTGAGTTTCTTGCAGGAAGGAGGCAAAATAATACATACACACATGATACTCTTAATGGGGGATTATAGCCTTTGATTCCCACCCCTTATATTTGCCTTTTTATTTTTTGGAAAGGTACATACCAGGGACAATGGACAGGAGGGATGAGACATGGCTATGGTATGCGGCAAAGTGTTCCTTATGGCATGGCAACAGTGATTCGTTCACCCCTCCGGACATCTCTGTCTTCTCTCCGTAGTGAGCAGAGCAATGGCACTGTTCTGCATGACATTACTTCAGACAGTCCAGCTGGAACAAGAGGAGGATTTGTGCTGAATTTTCACAGTGAGCTTGAAGGTATTGGGAGTAAGAAGAAAGGAGGCTTGTTCAGAAGAGGATCTCTGCTTGGTAGTATAAAGCTTAGAAAATCTGAATCAAAATCATCAATTTCTAGCAAACGTAGTTCTGTCAGGAGTGATGCTGCTATGAGCAGGATTAGTTCTAGTGATGCCAATTCTACCATTAGTTTTGGTGATGGGGACTGTGATTATTGCCCAGTGGAAGACCATGTTGATGCCACCACTACAGAAACATACATGGGAGAATGGAAGAATGACAAGCGTAGTGGTTTTGGTATTAGTGAGCGCTCAAATGGCATGAAATATGAAGGGGAGTGGCTGAACAATAAGAGACATGGATATGGATGTACCATGTTTCCAGACGGCACCAAGGAAGAGGGAAAGTATAAAAACAATGTTTTGGTCCGTGGAATAAGGAAGCAGCTTATACCAATAAGGAACACAAAAACTAAAGAAAAGGTGGAGCGAGCACTTGAGGGAGCCCAGCGCGCAGCTGCTATGGCAAGAACTAAAGTGGAAATTGCAAGTTCAAGGTACGTTACTTCAAAGCATGTTTATTCCTTGCTTTAGTGGCACAAACAAGAAACATTGTTATTAATTGTTTCAGCACACATGGAGCCATGCAAGTACAGTTTCTTGAGTGTACTTTAATTGTTTTATGGATACAGTCCTTGTATCTATCTTAATTAAGAAGGTGTCTTTGAACATCCCTAAGACTTTGCTGTGTTGACATAGTCCATAATCTCTGAATGAGGACCCATGATTGGCAGGGAACTGATTCAACATTTGGATTAGTCTGATTTGCTCTTATTAATTACATGGGATGTAGCTTGCCATAGGAGACCAAGACATCATAATTTTCTACAGGAGTGTCTTACATAATTGAGTATGTGCCACAGTATATTCTTTTTTATTCTTAACTTTTGCCAGCAGCTTTGGACTGGTAATACTTGAAGGATAACATATTTGACTAGTTACATAAATGCAATTAATGGCTTGGATCCAGATTTAGCCATGCTTAGAGGAGACACTAGAATCCAGAAAGTCCCACTGATTTTAATAGGACTACTCTACATGTTACTAACAATGTATTCAACCCAGTTTTTTATCTTTACATATTAATTAATATAAGTTTTTCTGCATTTTTGTAGTTCAGATAGGCTTACAATTTATGCTTTTCATAAGTTAGCTGTGTATTCTTTTTCTGATATGATTAACTTGGTCAGAATGTTAACAAGAACAGAAAACTTATTAATGGGAAGTTAAGACACTAAAGCAACAATCGTAGGAAGCTATAAGTATTTTCTCAGCTGTGAACTGATTCTCTGAAAAGCTACACAGAATCAGTGGATTCTAGGAAAAACAATTTTTACAGGTATGGCCAAGATATATTTCTGGAAAATGTTGTAAGGTTTAGGTTTCAAATTGCACTTCCAAATCCATGTATTTAGAAATATTGCTTGAAATGAAATATTGCATGACATGAAATTGCATGAAACTCCAGAACAATATTCTGGAATACATGCATTACAGTCTTGGCAAGAAAATATTTTCTAACATAAATTGGAACATGTGTTTGTATTACACTATTTAAAAAATGACCTTGTGCAACTGACCCCTGACATTTAGAGTAAATCAACCTGCTCGTAGGCATACCTCTTAAACGGTACAATCACTGTACATGCAGTAATAATCATTTTTAAACAGTTTAAGCTAGGAAGAAGGTTGATGTTTTAATTAAGGTTTCACTTTTTAACAATTTCATAAGGCAATTGTGTAGTATAAAATCCACTTCAGACGTCTGTACCTAGAAAAGAAACATACATGATTACACAGTTGGCCCTCCAAGGAATCTTGGTAGCTTGATTCCATAAATAAGTAAGGAAGAATTTGGCAAGCATGATTAGCTAGCAGGGTTACATTGATATCTTATTCTGAAATGTGTTCAGGGAATGAACTTATTAGACAAATGATTAGCCATTCAAACCTTATTTTGTTGCTTTTTTTCAAATTTTCAATAAAAAACTATGTTAGTAATGTTAACTTAGGTAGTACTTTGGATGAACATCTATTGCATTTTTAAGTTTACATTTTAAAAGGGGGAATTTAGGTTTTGATAATGTAAAAAAATCAAGGATTTGTGAAAGTCTTATTTATATTTACTGAGCTAGACTGTTAGTCTATCTGGTCCAGCATTATCTCCTCTAATTCAGGGGTGGGTAAAAAGTGGATTCCTATATATTATGGACTTCATTTCCCAGCATTCTGTCCATTGGCTACACTGACACACCTTCTGCAAGCTGATGTGCAAATGTCTGGAGATCTGCTTTCTGCCCACAGCAGGACTCCAAGCCTTCATTCAGGGGTCCTTCCTAGTCCTGCTACTTGACATTCTTTGTAGGCATCTTCTGTATATAAAGCTTGTGCTGTACAACTGAATAAATGGCTTGTAAACTCTAAGGATCTATTTGTTAAAGTAATCAATATGCAGGAAAGACGTCATCCAAGAAATAATAGTACATTGCTCAGTGAGACCTTATGTGGTTCTAATGGGATGAGATGAAATATAATGATCAAAAATTATGACAAAAACTAAAAATGAGGGCCAGTATATGTTTTTCACAGTGGGCACATATAATAGTCTGTCTGTCTGTCTGTCTGTCTGTCTGTCTTTCTTTCTTGTGTGTGAAAAGCAGCTGCATGCTGCTGAGTTTTACCAAAGAAATGGTAGGAAAGCTGTTTAACTATTTCCCAAATCTGTTGTGGATGGAAAAGTATGCATATGGATAGAAGCCACTTTTCTTCTGTGCCACAACTGGAAAAGCAGCTTTAGTGTAGACTTACATTTTGAGTGGATAAAAGTTTAAGTGGACAACAGTTTAAACAACCCCTTTCCTTGCTACCCAGAGCATTCTTCTCGTCAGAACTGCAGTCTCTAGAGTCTGCTTTTCATAATTCAAAGTTAGGAAATTCATACACACATCTGTCAGGTAATGTTCAGTTTTGGCCCTAATTCTAAGCAAGGTAGGCAGTGGCTTTCAAATTCTCATACTGGCTCTGCCAATACCTGATTCTCTCTTGGAATAAACAAGATCCTACTTTTCTATCTGCATGGGTGCCCCTTTCTAATTTGCTTATCACCTAACTCAAAGGTGCTGTGTAGGACATTTTTTATTTTTCCATCCATTCCCCGCTTTTGAGCAAGAAACAAAAAACTGTACAAAGTAGAAGTTACCCTTTATGACGCCTGTTCCTGCAACCTTTCACCACAGGGATCTATGACTTTATATCACACCATGCCTTTCCCCAACAATTTGGGTGGTCAGCACTTCCTGATACAGCTGCTTTCCACATGGATCAGCCTCCACATGCCTGTTTCTAAAGTGGGTGCTGCTTGCTGTATTAATAGACACAAGTCAAAACTGAGGACTTAAAGACATGTTGCACAGAAATGTGTGAAACAGAAGCTTCAACAAATTGTTTTTGCTTGCATTTTGTTTTGTTTTGCTTTTTAAGAACACCAGCTTTGGGAGAAGAGTGTGTTGAAGCAGAGAAGTAGCCTCATGTGACAGGTGTTCAGGAGCAATTGTGTTAACTGCCTGAGTCATCTTTGTATTCCAGCGATCAACCAAGGAGTTGACAGAACCACCAGTTATAGCAGCTAGACATTCCCAAGTGCCTCTGAAAACCTATCTGAATCCATTAGCCTCCTTGGTTGTGGACCATCTTAATAGGTTCCCCATATCTGTTGAGGGAGAAAGTTTCCATTCATCTAAATCTCAACAGGCACTGATCTGACCATGACAATAAGACCAGTTCAAAGTTCTCCACTTCAGATTACTATTTGCATGCCCAGCTGGGGGGGAAAACCCCAGAGAGTGTCCTGCTACATGCTTTGGACCAATTACATGTTGGGACAATCCCATGGGACAATCCAAGGCAACCAAGACAACCTCTGTCAGCTCAGGTAGGGAAATAGTTGGGTTGTGGGTTGGACAATACATCAGTGGTATCCTCAGTCTATACCACTGGCCCAGCACAAGAAGTAGACATTCCAGATTAGGAGTCAGATGGACAGGGAGAAAGAGATTGCAAGAGAGAGAGAGAATTCCTGTAGGCCACAGCAACCCACCCCCTTCCCAGCCTTCCTGTCTTCTTTGAAGCTATATCAAGTGGGCAGAGCTGGGAGAGGATAATCCATCTCTGCTCACTTACCCCTGTCCCTTTTATACATACCAGATCAGCTGCCTTATCCATTCCTAAATCATGACTAATGCAAACCATGGGAAGAAAAGAAGAGGGAGTGTAGTAGCAGAGAAGTACTGTCAAAGCTTAGCAGTTTGAAAAATGTGAACTATGTATCCACAGGCTAGTGCCAGTTTAAAGACTTTTTCTGCTTTATTGGGTCTCAGTGGCAGATTGCTAAGCAGAGTGAACCCCAGATTGAAGAGAAAATAGTTATTTTCTAGTCAGGATAAACTAAACAGGAAACTGCAAGCAATCATAGCTTTCCCAAAACTGTATGTAGTTTGTATGGTACAGGTGTTTGGCTCAGTAATACATCAGTACATGTAAGCTTACAATTTGTTTTGTGTTTCACTAAGAATTCAGTATGTGAAATGGAGCTTAGATATTATATGTTAAACCAGAGAGCCTCAGCTATTGAAAAATGAAATAAATAAATAAAAAAAATATCTAAAGCCAATGGTAAAAAGAATCTACAAACTTTGTTGTTCCAAGGTGATGTAAATATTGCCACTGTGCTGTTAAATCTCAATCAATTATATATACAAAGTAAAATCAGGTGGAAAATACTCTAGAAAATGAAGACGGGCAAGCCAAAAGGTAAAGAGGGATTTATTAAAATCCCTTTTTTACGCTGAGGTGCATCGGCGGCTATGTGGAAACTGCTTTTCAGTGTAGCTCCCTGGTGCTCAAATCCCATCTCCAAAGAAGCCAGGATAGCATCTTCTTTGATGAATTTTCAGTGCCTGTAGAAGAATTATTCTATTCTTTTAGTTGGCTTGGGGAAGGAGATCTTTTAAAAGCACTGAAAGTCAACCACTTCCACAAAAGAAAAGACTAGGAAGGCAGAATTGTTTTTTAAATGAGTCTAAAAGCCATCAGGTTTCATGCCAAGTATTCAGAGAAAGAGAGATTCCATAGTTAAGGCAGCATTACATTGCAGACATTATCTCTCTAGCCAGCCTCACCTCAGAATGTGTGAGCGTGCAGAGTAGGTCTGCTGATGACCCTGCCAGTTCATACTGATGTAGGCTATCCTTGAAATAATCGGTCCTACATTTGATCGGACAAGGCACATTTTCCAAGGTGGGTTAACTTTAGCTGTAGCAATCAGGACTTTTAAAAAGCTTCTATGGTATTAATAACATTTCTTTGAAATTTAATAACTGTATGGAACCAAGGAGGTAAAGCTGCAGTACATATAGGAAGGCTTTGCAGACCACCAGTTTCCAACCATATCTGAGACCATTTAGGACTTTAAGCAATTGAACCAATGCTTCAATTTATG